CTGCTGATCTGGGTTCTTTCTTTCCAGGCTCTGGGCATTTCTTTCTGGCACCAGCAGCTTTATTTTAATGTATCTTAAATGTATGTCTGATTCTTGTATCTCATATATATATTTATATATATTTATATATATTTTTTAATATATATATATATACACACACACACATACATATACATATACATATATATAAATACATAATATACATAACATATATAATATATATAATATATATACATAATATATAAAATATTATGTGTGTATATATAACATATATACATAATAGATATAATATATATAATATATTTCTAATTTGTATATCGGTATTAAATTTTGAACATCCTGAAAATTAATCTTTTAATGAGATCCTGGTATTTTAGTTTATTTCACAATGGAGGAAAGAGAATTACCTGAGTCCTGCCCAGCTCTAATTCCTCTTGTTAACTATTTTTGTTCATTTCAGTCCTAGGAAAGAGTTAAATTTTTTAATGATAAAAATAGTTCCCACACTGAGAGTGTTGTCACTCAGCAGATTAATCTGGAAGATCTTAAACCATTTTATAAAGCTGTTTAAGATGCTGTTCTTCACAAATGAGAAAATTAAAACTCTGCTGTTTAGAGGTTGATGGATTCCAGTGGGGATTTTCCAGCAGAGGTGTCGACAGGTTGCTGGTGATCCTGGGTTATTAAAAAAAAAGAAACCCAATGTGAAGAGTGTTTTGTTGTTTTTTGATTGTTGTTTTCTTTTAGGTATGGACAAAAATGAGCATAATTTGATATTACTGCTTATTGGGCACATGTATCCATGGGGCATGCTGAGGTGTTTCCAAGGAGTAGCTTATTTTTAGGTGCTGTATGCCTGTAAGTTATTTATGCTACCATTGCTGTATTTTACCAAATGCAGCAGTTCAGATCCCTGAATCTTGTTCTTGCCAATCAAGTGGGTGCCTTGGGATGAAAAAACAGTCATGAAAAGTAAAAAAACAACCACGTTCTTCCCATTGAATTGTCGATTTTTCAGATTTCAGTGTTTTTCCTGCACTTTGCAGTGTCCTGTTCTTGGGGGGGAAAAAAAAAAAAAGGAAAATGAGAATTTCCATGTAAACCTGAGAGAAGTGACTCTCAGCAAAACAGCAACTACTAGAAAACGAGATAAAATCCCAAGAGCTGCTAATGTGATAATAGTATCTCATATTCATTGAATGGAGTGCCTGTGCCTCAGTGCTGCCATGGGACTGTGAATGTGCTTTTAATCTTTTATTTCTCTAGAGAGGCAGATAAATCTGAACCCATTATGTGCTGAGGCTGAGGCAGGGCACTGAGATTTACAGGCTTGCAGGGAATGAAGCTGCTGGCCTGGCTGTGGGGCACGTGTTCAGGGGGATTGGATGGGATGGGATGTGCCTTGCTTCAGTATTTCCAGCTCTTGGAATGGTTTTCATGGTCAGCACACACAGAGCAAGGGGAAAGGCTGGGCTTGATGGGGAAAACCTGATGATAAATACTAAATACATCAGCCAGTGAGCAGCTGGCAGCAGCCCCTGCTCCTCAGGTCCAAATGCAGCCTGGAGTGTCGGGACACAGCTTGGGAAAATGAGTAAAATGAGTAAAAGTGAGGAAATGGCAGTGGGAAAGAAGGGGGGAGAGGAGTGGGAGTCAGAGATGTTGTGAGCAAGGTGAATTGAGTAGGGAAAAGTGGGAAGAACTTGAGGGATATTGGATATGATCCATTTCTTGGTGGAAGGGGCACTCAGTTTTATAGCCTGAGTCTTAATGTTGGAAAGATCTTTTTTCTTACTCAATAATTTGCTGTAATATTTGCCACACTAGAAGGTGATCTCTGAAATAATCATTTTTTCATGGAAGGAGGCAGTGAGCTGCAAGGCTTTTTTTACTGATTTTTACTTTTGCAGGTGTGGATAATTTCGCTGAGGTCTGTTGGGAATGGTTCACCCTTCACCAGCCCATCACTGAGTCTGGGACTGGTTCATCCCTACAGCTGCTCCTCAGGAATTGGGGAGGGAAATTTTGGGTCTTTTTCAGGTGTTTGAAACCCATGGACCACTCCTGACTCACTGAATTAATTTAAGGCAGAGGAAAATGTTTTGAAAACAGGAATTCTAGTGGAGTTCAGGTCACTATGGGGCAGGATTCTTTATCCTGGCCACCTTCCCTTCCCACCAGCTGCAAAAAAAGCAGAATTCTCCCAGCCTGTCCAGCAGTTGGAGAGGTTCTGTAGAGCCTTTTCCTGTAGCTAATGATGAGGGAAAATGGGAAATAGTGATGGGAAGTTCACTGTTTCACTCCCCAGTGCTGAAGGAGTCTGATATACCAGAGCAGCATTTCTGGAGAGGGATGCTCAGGCTGGGCACCCATGCATGGCACTGACAGCTATTCTCATTTACCCAGCAGATTTTCCTTGTTTGAATATATTTGTTTAACATTTTGCTTGGTCTTCAAAGGCTTTTGCAGCTATCATGATCATTCAGATTCACTTCATTACTACTAAAAATTAATATTTGCTCTGTGGTGACTTGAACTGTAAAGCTGAGCAGGCTGATTGTGCTCTGTAGGCACAGAGGAAGGTACAAATCCCTGTTTCTACAACTTCCAGTGCAATTTCCTGTCTCTCAGAGGTTTTCAGAGCTGTTTTATCTATGCCACAAAAGCATAAGAAAGGAAAACCCTAGAAATTAGATTTGTATGGGAAGGATAGTTCTGAAACCACCTAGAAACTGAGAACAGCTCAGGTTTTTTTTCAGCTGAGCCTGTTTAGTCTGAAAACAGAGGTCACCTTGTGACTTTTGGACTTTGAAAGTCTCTAATCCAGATCTGAATGTGGAGAGGACCTTATTTAGATGTCAGACTGTGAGGTGCAAGTCTTTTTTAAAAGGACAGAGATTTTTCTCTCTCTCTGAAAGGCACTGGGAGACTGACAGACAGGCAGATCTGTGAATCAGGCATCGTTATGACATCTCCAGTTGGGCATCTGGAAGTGGAAGCCCCTGAAATCTGTTAATCTGTTGTCAACTCTGAAAAATCCTATTCTCCCCCCATCTCCCTCCCGCCCAGTCCTGCCAGCTTTGAAAGTTCAAAGTGTGCGCTTTTTATCACATTTGTCATTCCTCGGTAGCGAAGCTCTGGCATTCAGAGATTTGGCTGACAACTTGGTGGGAACGAGCCAGAATCGAGTTCAACTTGCACCTTTCTGTGCTGCACCCAGTGCTGTGCTCAGGGGGAGGCAGAAATCTGAGCTAGAGGGACCCCAGCCTCATTCATTGCCACAATCACCATCCTCTCCCTGGTGCCAAAATTCAGCTTGGTTTCTTTATCCTAAGGTAGGTGGACAGGAACTGATGAGTTCAACACAGCAGGAGTGTTTAGAGAGAAAGTGTCATATCTAAACCATTTTTTCTCAGGCTGTTCTTTCATCTTAAATAATGCAAAGGTCATAAATCTTCCAGAAATCATGCAAAACTGGTGCTGCAAAAGACATAGAATGGTTCCAGGCAAGTTCAAACACTATTTTATGGAGGCTCGAGTCCAGCAGTGCAAGGTTTGATAATTTTAAATACATTTAAGGTTTGATAATTTTAAGTACATTTAAATGCACATTTAAAGGAGTTTAGATATCTAAATGGGATGTATAGCTCAAGCTGAGAGAACTGGCTTTTGGGGAAGGAGCAGAGCTCAGAAATGAGGTTGAGGCAAGGTGCCCTGGGCATGGCTTGTGTCTTTATCCATATCCAATCCTGTGGATTACCATGGGGTAATGGTCTTTAAATAAGATATCTGGTTGTTTGTTCAGAGGAAATGTTTAAATTTTCAAATGTTTGTGACTTTTCCATTCTGTAAGTGTTTCTAAGTTAGCCAGATAACTGCATTCCTGATGAGTCTCTCACACATAAGTAAGATTAGTTTGGAGAGAAAACAAAGTTTCAGGTGTAATTTAATTCTCATTTACAGGCAGGTAGAATTAAAGTTAAATTTCTGGATTTTTGATTACAGCTGCACAGTGCATTTGAAGAGGCATCTCTGTCTGTCAAGCTGAGATTTGCTGAATTATTGCCTTCATGTGTCCACTGATTTAAACCAGAACTGACCTGGAATGTTAATCCTAGAGGCAAAATTTGTATATTTCAGTTCAAATCTTAAAAAACTGCATACATGTCCTAAATTGATGCTGATTCACAGTGTTTACCTCAGAAATTATTCTTTTTTTTTTTTTTCCTGATAAGGGAAAGACTTTAAGTCTTTCTTCTTGCCGGTGTATTGACTCAGCAGCTGATATATGATGTTCTCAGGGTTGATTTTTCTACTCTGTTGGAAAAGCACCTGGAGTTTCTGGTCTCCTGTCAGGGAATTGAAAGTTTGTACAGCTTCTTTTATTCCCAGAGGTCATTAGTGAACATACAGAGAGACTTTATAAATCACATCTGAGCCCAGGTGATAAGCAGGAAACGAGTGGTTACACAGGCAGTGGCCAATTCTGAATGGGAGAGATGGGGATGATAAACCATGATGTTGTAAATCACTGTCAGTGGCTACAGTGGAGCAACACCTTCCCTTTTTTCGGGATTTAACTGTGTGCACAGGTTGCCCAAAGAACTGGACAACAAACCAGTTTTTTTTCCTTGTCTGAGATGCAGTTGCATCCAAAACGTTAGAGGTGGTAAATCCTGAGGAGATGTTTCTGATGGAATCACAGGATGGTTTGGGTTGGAAGGAACATGAAAGATCATCTCATTCCATGCCCTGCCATGGCAGGGACACCTTCCACTATCCTAGGATGCTCCAAGCCCTGTCCAACCTGGCCTTGGACACTTCAGGGATGGGGCAGCCACAGCTTCTCTGGGCACCCTGTGCCAGGGCCTCATCCCTCTAATAATGAAGAATTTCTTCTTAATAAATACACCAGATCCACTGTGTGACACACACATGGCAAGTCACTGCAATCTGCTGTGCTAAGCATTTCTTTTCTTCCCTTTTCTCCCCTTCCCCAGCAATCAAGGAGAAATACATGGACTGGACAGAGTTCCTCATCCAGGATCTGACCGGCGCCAGGACGGCCCCTGCCAATTTGCTGGAAGGTGTATGTATTAGATTGCATTCCTCCTCCTCCTCCTCCTCCTCACTGTGTGCTTGCAGTGTCTGTGTCTGCCAGCCCTGGGACCTCACCCAGCCCTGCCCCAAAATCCATGGCAGCAGTGCCTGGACTCTGCTGGCTCTGCTTCTCACCCAGGCACCGGGAGTTTGTTTTGCCTTTTTGTTCTTTACAAAGTTGGTGCTCAAGCAAGGCATGGAGTGTGGAGGGGATCCACAGAAGGGGGAGCTCAGCCCTTCAGTGCCCCAATAGATCCATCAAACTGGTGAGCTGAGCTGCCAGTCCATCTCTGCCCCATCCCTGGAAGTGTCCAAAGCCAGGCTGGATGAGTTTTGGAGCAATCAGGTTTCATGGAAGGTGTCCCTGCCCATGGCAGGGGGTTGGAACTGGGTGATCTTTAAGGTCCCTCCCAACCCAGACCATTCTGTGACTCTGTGGCACAGCTTGGAGAGGGTGTTTAGTAGGTTGATGTGGAGCATCAGCCTACTTTGGTTTATCTTTATATGGGAAGTGCTCCCTCAAGGACATTCCCTCCACCTAAATCCAGCAGTCACATTTAGCAGGGAAGTTGGGTGAGGTGGCCTCAGAAGAGCAGAAGGGTTCATTTTTTAGATGCTCCCAGAGCCCAGTCTGTGCAGCAAATCCAAGAGGTGGCTTGCACCTGGGACAGCCTCAGATCCTGGACAAAAATCCCACAGCTTCACCTTGAAACCAGGGCAGCTTTTGCATCAGGGCCTGCCCTGCTCTGCTGTGGGTGCTTTGGAGAGGAGACAGATGGTCCTGCAGGAGCCCCTCATTCTTTGTCCCTCTGTTTAGGCTGAGAGCAAGGCCATACAGGAATTGGTGAAAGTGCTCACGTTGGTTTGTCTGAAGCCAGTGTCCATCCAGGCACCATTCTTGGTCATTTTGTCCCTGCTCACTTCCACCATCCACAGCTGCATCCTTTTTCCACGTGCCCAAGCAGTATGGATGGACCTGGCAAAGATAATTAATATTATTAGGGTTATTTTCCCCCCCAGTCTGAGTGAAGAACAGCCTTGCAGACCCCAAATAATCCACATCCTGCTGCATCCCCATTCCTGGACTAACACATGCAGAAATCTGGTGGTGTCCAGCCCCCATCTCTGGTGTGTGCCAAACCTCCCCTCTCTGCAGGCAGAAAAGCAGAGAGAGAAAACATTGAGTTGGCTTGAAGCAGTTTCTGACCCTTTCCTGGTGTTTTATGTGCTCAGTGCTGTCTGTGTCCTGCAATGTATGTTGGCCCCTGTTGACAGATTTGCTGTTCATGAGTGCTGCAGATTGTTGTTAGGCTGTTAAATCAATATGTAGTGCTACTTTTTAAATCCTTTTTTTTTTTTTTTACGTGCCAGCTACGTATGTAAAGGGTTCTTGCATGATGGTAAATGTTAATATTTCATGCAAGCTGATTATTAATCCTAGCCATTCAGTTCTCGTGGGGTAAGTGACAGCCCATTGGCTTAAAATTTAGCACACAAATCAGGGAAGCAATATTCACTTTGATACAGCCAGGGATTTATTATAATAAGTTAAATCATTACACCATCCTTTCATATTAAAGAATATTTGGTTGCAAGCAGTTGTATGAGAGGGGAAAAATCCACATTAAAGTGGATTTCTGTTGTATTATTAAATTCTGACACTGCATTTTGCCATGAAATAATATTTGAAGAGATTATACAGATGCTTGCAGCTTGCACTGTAGAAAAGTAGCTTATTATGGCAAATATATTGTTCTGAGAAATATCTGTTAATCATAAATTTGTTTAAAGTTGTACTTGTGATAAGCTTTTTGTTAATTTTAATTGCATTTTTTACCATATTCTTATGCTCTTGCCTGCTTTTTTGGATTAAGAGAGACATATGAAAATTGATTGCATCTCAAAATTTCAATATTTTCAATATTCAGTAGGAAAAATAACTTTTTGAAAAATAAGGTTTTCTCCTTGTTTTGTTTTGTAGCCACTATTAGAAAGAACCATCCTGGACTGACTCTTGATTTACAGAATTAATACTTTAAAAAGTAATGTGAGATGTTTATATGGTTTAATTAAGTAAAAGTGGGACAAACACACAGGAAAAAAAATCTTTGTTTTTAATATATTTTGCCTTTGCTGAGCATCTCCTTTGGGGATCAATGCTTCCAAGTCTTGGGGTCATTTTAATGCTGCTCTTAAAACCCCAGAACTGAGACATTGCATAAGAATTCAAACTTGTATTTAATAACAAATAAGAAATTTAACCACTTGAGCACACAGAGATGCTCAGAGTCACAAAATAAAACCACTGAGCCCCAAAGGGGTTGTTCTGCAGAGCATCTCATGGTTTTTTAATGCCTGTGCTTGCAGGTGGAAAGTTACACACACGTGTAAATGGCTGCAAAAATGGGATCCCAGAAAATAACCATGTGGAAGCAAATAACCTCAGTCACTGGGATTTCTTGGGCATGGTGGCCTGACCCAACAAATCCTCTGTGCCTTGGGCTTTGAGCTTTGGAATAACCCCCACAGCCTCCTGCATCCATGGCTGGGGGGGATAATTTGCTCTCTGTGCCAGTAGGAATAAGATAAAGCTGATCTTTGGTGAAAGAGATCAGTACACAGAGTGAAATTTCTGGGTCATACACAAAATAGTCACCTTTTAGGTAAATATCAGGGTCCCGTCCTGTGGTTGGTTCTTATCAGCTGCAATCAGTGAGAATTTGTTTTAAATCCTTTAATACAACTGGACTTTGAGTAATTCAGGAGCCTCCTAAATGGATGTGCCTCACAAGCTGTTCCACCTTTATTATTCTTTTTTTTGTTGTTGTTGTTGATGATGTCGCTTGAGAAATTAGCACAACTGTTGTTTTCTGTTTTACTTCTGAATTTGCACTTGGAAGACATTGGGTAAAATAGAAGAAGAACAGACTGTTTGCTGATCGCTTGGATGATGGTGTGAAAAACAAAAATAATCTTCTGCTGTCATCTGTTTCCTTGAGAAGTCTTCAAATAAAGTTTAAAATAAGGAGTTTTGCTTCTATTCAAACAGCCTCTGCGAGGAAAAAACCCTGTAGACCTCATTACAGTTGATTCCTTAATAGAGCTGCAGGATTCCCAGAATCCCTTTCAGTACTGGATAGTTAGTGTGGTTGAAAATGTTGGAGGAAGATTACGCCTTCGCTATGTGGGATTGGAGGAGACTGAATCCTATGACCAGTGGTTGTTTTACTTGGATTGCAGACTTCGACCAGTCGGGTGGTGTCAAGAGAATAAATACAGAATGGACCCACCTGCAGGTAAGGAGCCTCCTTGAAATGTTGTCTCCCTTTGTGGTGTTCACTGATGTTTTGAGATGATTTTTCCTTTTCCAGCATTCACATTGCTTTGTCAGTAGTTTCTGGTTGTGGCACAAATGGGAGGTGAGGTCCATCTAATTTGAGTTCAGAGTGGGTCATGTGGACTGTATTGTTTATTAATAAATTCATCTGAAGTCTTTGCAAGTCTGTCAGACCATATGAAACACCAGGAGATCACAGCTTGGAGATGAAGTGTCTCTAGGGTTTGAAAGTCTTTAGGGTTGAGTTTAGTGTTCAAACCAGCTGGAATGGAAAGGGATCAGGACTGCAGTTAAGCCAGTCTGGGATCACAGATTGAGCCACCTTCTCCTGTGTAGGTTAAGTACATCCAGGTCTGTGCCTCCTTTTCTTTGTGCTGTGGGTGTAAGTTTTTCCATGAAAGTTCCTCTCCTCTGGGAAGGTGTTTCTGCTGTGGCTTCTGTCCCTCACACCTAATGAGGAGAGTTGAGCCTGACATGTTCAATTCTTGTTTTCACAAGTTTGTCTGGGACTTGGGTCCTGAGTGCTTTTAGGAAGTGTGTGTTTTTCTTCTCTGGTAGATGGGAATCAATGTTCCTCATCATTTCTAAATCAGATGTGAGTGCTGGAGAGCATGAATATCACCCGCTGTTATTTTACAGAGTCTTGGTGTTACAGAGAAACAATTTTTTCATTGACCATCTCTGAGCCCTCTTGGCCTGTATAGGTTTGGGGAATATAGAAATGGCCCAGAGGAGATTTGTGCTTCCTTTTTGTTCATTCCATTTGCTTTCTACTCTTTCCTCCTTTTATCCAGTTGTGGAATCCTTCTCTGTGGATTCCCCACCCCTCATGCCTTTCTTTTCATTTTTTCAGTTGTATTTCTCTAAACTTGTTACTGGACTCTTTATTTGCTGGAGTTGACTTTTCTTCTCCCCTCTCCTTGATTTAACTTTTAAAATTTCTGTCTCTTGTTCTTATCTGTTTTTACCTGATAGCTGTTTCCTCTCCTTTCATTTCTCTGGTCATTGACTTTTTAGTCAACACTTATTAATAGGCTCAATGCTCACATCTTCTTCCTCACTTAAATAGGTCTTCATTACTTTAAATCTCCTAAAGTTGAGCCTTGTAGGATTTTGCTGTGAGAAGACCCTTCAGGTCTGAACTTTTCTGTTTTTGTCCAAATCCTCTCCTGATCACTGCTTCTGGGGTCTTTCATTGGTCCCCCATTCTGACCCAGCTGTCAGGCTCTGCCAGGCAGGAGTGGAAATCTGAGGAGTTTCTGGAGCCAGGAATTCTGGTTGTTCCTCTCCTGGTCATTTGATATCCACCTAATGTGGAGTCACAGAATCATCAAGGCTGAAAAAACCCTTTAAGATCTTCCTATCCAGCCATCCAATGTGTCCATGAGGCACAATGAATTAATGAAGTGTATGAGGCATTAACTGAGAGGAAGAAGACAGAAAAAAACCCCAAGTGGCTGATCTTATGGGATCTGCTGCAACTTAAAGGTCTGCAAAAGGAATCTTGGAGCAGTCAGGGAAGCAGTAATGAATGAGTTGTGGCTTCTTAGAAAGCAGAGATTCTGTGGGCAGCACTTTGTTTTTTACTCATCAGGGATTAGATTCACCTGCCATGGGGCAGGCATCAAAAGGCAGTTCTGCATGAGAACTTGCTTTCTGTTTATAATGGGTAGGGAAAAGAGGGTGCTAAGACACACCTAACATAGGTAAAATGACATCTTTTTAAGCCTATTTTTTGCACTCATGGGGGTTGAAACCAATGAAGACACACCTGGTTGTCCTAAATTTTGAACATCTGAAGCCAGTTAAGGTAACTCCTTGATTGGGAAAGGGAGCAGCCTTGGACTGTGAATCAAATCTGTTATGAATCTCTTCTGAGGAGATGCTGAGGACATGCAGCTGCTCCCAAATCAGGCTGTGTGTCCCCTTGCTATCAAACAAGGGTGTTTTTATACATCACTTCTGCAGCCTGTGACAGTGCTTAGCCTACCCTCAACTAGGATTCCACATATCCACCCTGAGCTTTATTTCCCTCTGTGTCTGAGGTGTGACTTTTCCCTGTTGATCCACCTCTGGCACCTGCCAGGTTCCCGGGTCAGTCTTTCAGGATGCAGAGCATCTCAGATAAGGGAGATCCTATGGACCCAAGAAATATTTTGGATGGAGGGGTCTCTTTCCTGAAGCCACCCACATCCTAACACCCACTTAAAGTGAAAGAGGATGCTCTGGGGATTGGAACTAGATGATGTTTAAGGTCCCTTCCAACCTAAACCATTTAATGATTCTATGAAACAGCATCTCAGCTGTCTCCTTCAAACAACTCTGTATATCTCACAAGCCCATTTAACTGAAGCAAAGGGGTTATAGCTTATTTTTCCCTTCAGATGTATATCTGAGTCTGGAATAAGCCTCCTTGCTAGTGCAAATTGGCACAGGCTGCTTGACACAGAGCCGCTCATGGCCTGAGCTCAGCTGTTTATGCAGGACAAGATCATCCTGGTTTATGCCACTTTCTATTTAAAGACAAATTGCCAGTCATTTTAATTGCTCACTGCTTGTGAACCCTAATACAAACTGACACAGTACACTTTGTTCAATTACCTGGAGCCCTGACACTTAAATAAAATGCTTTATGCTCTTTTAACCATGCAATTTAGTGTCCATACACTTGCCCAGCATAAGTGAGATGCCACTAATTAAATGTACACGTGATATTCCTTGCTGGCCCTTGAAACCACTGGAGGTGCCTCTGTATCTTGAATTTTGTTGACACTGCCCAAAGAAGTTGCTGCTTGTTTTCACTGATTTTGGCCAAAGTTGCCCAAAACTTGGCCAGAGTTGCCCAAAATGCCTGTTTCATCTTTCCTGTGCTTCAGTGGTATCACAATAGAAAATGAAGGTTTATTTCCAGCAGGGAAGCATCAGGCAGAGTTTTTCTGAACTCAGTCCTGAAACAACAGGCTGGTTGCAGCATGGGGCAAAATCATGTTGTGTTAAGTATTTCCCTGTAAATTAAACCAAAAAAGAAAGAAACAAGGTGAGTCATCCCCCTCCCTGCACTTGATGCTGATCAGAATTCCTGCAGGCAAGGGAGAAGTGGAGCAACAGAACTATAAAATAATGAACAGTTAGATAAAGAGTGCACTTCTTAACACTTGTGCCCGCTGCACACATTGTAAACAAAGACTTGAAATCTATGTTCCCATTAATAACCAGGCAGCTGAGGAATTAAAAATACTGCCCTGAAAGGTTAACATTCCCCTTCAAGTGTGTTTAAATTCATATGCATATCCTTGATGTCTGTTCTGAAGTAGTGAGATTTGATATAGTGGAAGTATAAATACATCCACTTCAGTGAGTGATTCTGCAAATCCTGCTTTGATAAGGTCTTAAATCTGTTGAGTTCAGAGCATAAAATTCTCTTGTAGCATCAGTGCTAGGTGGAAACAGTGCTTGCCAATTCCTTTTTTTTTTTTACACATATTTTTTATTCCCTCTTTCAGAATTGTAGGATACAGCGGTAAATCTTCTGCTAGCTAGTAAATATATATGGTTATTAGATGTACAGGATTTAAATGCAAATTGGGCCAAATTGAACCTTGATGTGAATGAGGGGAGCCAGACTGGCCAAAGAAAAGCTCCACACTCTTCACTCTGTATCAAGGTTTGAGTTTATTACTGAGCACATGTTCATTTCCATTTTAATAATTGTTGCAATCTATCTACCTATCTTCTCTCTTTGAGGCCTTGATATGAATGTTCTGCAATAACTTGTTACGTGCAAGATAACAATGTGTTTTCTAGGGCAGGAGTAAATCCAATATAATGTTCCCCATCACAGCATTGTTCCTGCATTGTTCCCTTTGATGATTCATAGGCATTTCACTGCACTGAACCATAAAGGGCTTGTTAATATCATGATTTAATAATATTATACCTGTGTAAAGAAACTCACTGCAAGCAATGTGAAGCTGCACAAGGATGTTGCCTAAAAATATAGTGATGAAAATTCATAAGTGTAAGTGCTTGCTCTGGTGTGATGCTCTGGTTTGAGTGTGATACCAAAAAATGTGTCTGGGTAGGGATTTAGCTGAAATGTTTCTTCCCACACCCACCCCAACCTTGCAATTTAAAAAAAAAACCCAAACCTTAAACACTTTCTGATGAACAGGTGTCTTAATAATGATAATATTTGTTTTGTTCAAATATGACTAATATTGCTTGAAGACCTGAGGCTCCTCAAACTAAGAAACATCAGGTATTTTGAGAACTGAAAATGAGTTTTTTCACTATTTTCAAGTAATGAGATAGTATGATTCTTATTCCTTCAGCAGAATAATTTGAAGGATGTGAATTTTTCTGGGTTTTACTCCAGGTTATAAAACACAATCTTTCTCCAGTGTGCCCCTGCTAGCTGCTTTTGTGTTGAATTTATCCATGCTGCACAGCTTGGAATGTAGACACTGTTCATTTCACTTGCTCTGTCCATTCATATGACTTAAGAACTTTAGTCTTCCAAAAATGTTTGATCTCCAAACAGTCACCTCTTGGTTTTGTTGTTCTTTTTTTTTTTTTCTTTTTGTTATTGTCATCCCTTTAGATATCTATTCTCTGAAGACTATAACTGAGTGGAAATGCGCTCTGGAAAAATCCCTTAATGATGCAGCAAATTTTCCTCTTCCAATGGAAGTGTTCAAGGTAAAAGATATTTTTCTTTGCTTGTGGAACCTGTGATGAATAAATACTATGCCATATTTAGTAGCTAATGTTAAACTTTCTCTGGAAAGGCCTTTGCTATAATACATAACCGTGGAAGGTCACAAGTTGGATGTTTGTATAAAATACTTTTTATGTGTGGACTTATTTCTTAGTTGGTGTTTTCTGGGGGCTGGGGGTGGCAGGCAGGGATTTCTCCAGTTATTTTTCCTGTGTCTTACTCTGTTAAATCTCTGCAAAGACATCATACATAACTGTGAAATAGTAAGGCTGTGACTATAGAAGTTGACACAAACTGGAGAGATTTCCGTGAGGCTTGCACCAAAGTTTTCACCTGATCGCAAGCCACAAGGTAGAGAAACCTCCTTCAGGGACCTGTAGTGGAAGTGAGAGATTATTTTGTTCCTACATCTTGTTTTTTATAATTTTTTTTTAATTCTCACTCTGGTGCTTCAGCCCCAAGGCACTGCCTTTAATTTCCTGTGTAAATCTGCACTGCTGTGAGCCATGGTGGCTCCAGCTAATCCTGATTTACAGCTGTGCCTGCCTGGTTCCATCAGTTCCACCCTGGCTGGGGTGGCATGGGCAGTGAGGGGCTCAGGGAGCTGTGTGTGAGCACAGCAGTGCCCCCATGGCTCTGCTGTCACCTCCTGCTTGGGGACACCACCAGCCTGGGTTCCTTCCCAGCCCTGCAGGAGCACTGCACTGGGATGCTCCAAAACATCCTTGGAATTGGTGCAGTTCATGTGTGGATGTAGCACTTGGTGGTGCCCTTAGCAGTGCTGGATTTGGATCTTGGAGGGCTTTTCTAACTGAAACAATTTGTAATTGGAATAAGTCTCTTACCATGTCCCATTCTGGCTGCCACAAAACCCCAGTGCCACGTTCACCCTCCCTGCAGGGACATTCCAGCAGCTTCCCATGAGGAATCCAGGCTCCTCACCCAGCTGGGAGGCACTCAAATTAGCCACATTAATTAGGGGACACTTTGCTAAAAGCCCAGGCTCATTGGCTGGGAGAAGAGGGAAGATTGGAGTTGGCCTTGGGCACAGATGTGGGTTTGAGGAGCCCTGTGCTGGGTTGGAAGTGGTGTGCACGGAGTTCTGGGTCTCTGCCATTCATCTCATCCAAGGCTTCCATCTGCCAACTCTATTAAAAGTTTGCATTGGCAGCTTCAAGATCAAAAATGCTTTGTGTGGGGCAGGGATTAAATCACAGAAGGGATTTTCTAATGTGTAAATTTTATTCCTGTCTGTGTGAAAGAGTGAAGAATGTTTCTGATGAGGCTCATGAAACATCCTTTTTAAAAAAAAAAGTTTATGACTAACAGCTGTGTTGCTGCCTCTTCCCAGTGTGCCAGACTTATACCCACTTATTTTAATTATTGCATGCAGGTCATAAATTTGAATTCATAAAATCTCAGTTGCTGTTCTGTGTTCTTGGAGCTTGCAAAGAGGTTTGTCTTAAAAAACAGTGCAAAACCTTAGAATGTTTGAATGGCGCAAGAGTAGAGTTACTTTGGGGCCAAATATGGCAAAAATGTCAATGTTCAGGTCCATGATTAGGTCAGTAGGACTTCTCTGTTTATCATAATGTGGAAGGTGAGCACAAGATGAGCAGAATTCAGATTTTGTTGCTGTGTGAGCCCTGGTTCTGGTGTTGGGAAGACAGGAGACTGAATAAATTTTCTGTGTGTGGCCATGACTTCATTCTGCCTATTCAGGGTGAATCAACCCCATTTTGTACATTTTCATGAAGGAGAAAAAGACAAGATGTCATCTGTGCCTGTGAGCTAGTCTTCCTCTGGTAATGACTTAAACATGAGTTAAGGGTTTAGGAGACTTGGGAGTAAACTCAACTGATCTGGCAAAGAAAGCCAAGGATTATCTGTGGGACCTTCAAGTAGAATCCCAGATCCCAGCAAACAGTGTTGTATCCAGAGGTGTCTTTTATAACTTCCTTTTAATTTTAATTTTTCAAATTTTATTTACAGTCCCAGCACAGAAGTAGTGTCTCTACACCATGCTTGGGGCTCCTTGCTAGATGAGATAAAAAACACAAGGTTTGACACCTGGCGACTCTTAGAGATCTTCGGGAAAGCTGAAAGTGTCTACTTTGGCAGACAGGCACGGTGACTGCACACTGAGCAGTTACATTCTGGTTTTTCCACATTTCCCTGCAGAATTCCCTGGCTGAGCAGGGTGGAGGTGTGTGCTTGCTCTCCATGAGCACGTCCCCTGGGCTGGATTGTGAGTGAAATCCATGTTGTCCTTAGAGCTCTGCCTGACTGAGGGAAGTGTCACCGTGGTGCCATCCAGCTGTCCCCAGGAGGTGGCACTGGCAGAGCAGGGCCACGTTTGCAGGGTGAGGAGCAGCAGCTCTCAGGGGTCTGTCAGCCCATTGCTGCTGTGACACTCCTCACTTTCGGTGTCACAGGGTTGGGTTCTGCCTGAGAGCTCAAAAACCGTGGGTTTGAGCCTGAATTATCAATGCTCACAAGTGTGGCAGAGCTGAACTTGGCACATGGTGGTCTTCAGCAACAGCTCCAAAAACCCCTTGCAGAAGCACAGCCCTGATCCCCTCTTGGCATCCAGGGAGAGGACACCAGACCCCATGAGCTGGTTGCAAAAATCAGGAGAGAAAGCTGCAAACAGGATTTTCTTCTCTATTTTTTTTTTCCTGGTGCTGTTTTACACTTGGCCATATGTTTGGAAGTGTTTGTAAAATGCTTTAGGATCCTTTGAGAAAGGAACATGATGTTTAACTGTCACAAAATGCTGCTATTATGCAGCTACTAAACATAGTGTTTTGCAAACTGCACATCCTGGAATAAATTTTCCTCCTCACAAAAGCTTTTTGCAATGCACCTACTATTTTGTCGTTCCCTGCCTTTCAGAAAACATGTTGATCCTTGAAGAAAAATAAATACAGACAGGGTTTTCAAGGATGTTTGAATGGCTTAGGAGCACAAATCCTTCCAAAAGGCCACAGCCCAAGGACATGTGTCCTTTGCTGTGTCTGCTCTGATTTCAGAGTGCTGTTGAGATGCTCCCACACTTGGTTTGGTATGGTCATAAATGATGGCTTGGGCTTCAGATGACACCTGATAAAATGGTCAGGGCTTGTTGTGAATAAAAATGGTCAAAATGTTGCTGGGGCCTGATTGCAAGTTAAGTGGAATAATTTCAGTGGTATGCTTCAGTGCTGGCATTGCTGGTGCTCTCTGAGAGGGAGCCATGCTCCAAACACAGCCCTAATACTACAAACCAGTGCATATTGCAGAGTTACAGCCCGGCACCTTGTATGAGGTGAATGGGTTTCATTTCCTGGAGAGGGGCAGACAGGAGATCCTGGATATCCTCTCTGACCTCCCATTCTGCTTTCTCCAGTCTCCTGTGCCAGATCTTTGGGTGCCATGCAGATCTCATGGATCCTCACCTCACCTGTTTGGGCAACTGAATCCTACCCAGGATTTGGGGTGCTCGTCATCTTTCCATGGATTTTGCACACTGGTATCCTGTTCCAAATTCCTGTGAAGTGAATCCTGATGCCTGGCTTGGATGGAGCTGTTATCAGCCACATCCCTAAACCACATCCTGATAAACTGCATGGAGAGCACCTAGGAGAGAGAGGTGTTAGATACCTAATACAGGTGGAAGTTCCTGCTTTATAGCCTTTGGTCCCATTCCTCCTTTCCTGAAGTTGTTTGTTCTTTCCAGCTCTAAACCTCTCTAGCAAAAACCCTCTTTATTATACCCAGCCCAGTGTTCTCCTGTTACTGACTGGAGCTTCTGGATGTCTCCTGTTACCAGTTAAAAGTATTAATTAATACTAAAACTAGTGACATGGAAGGAATCAGTTGGAACAGATCTCTCTTAATGAGACAGATGGAGGGACCATCCACCACCCAGGCAAGAGCTGCCCCTGAAATTCAGGACAGAGTGCTGCTTCTAGTTCTACACTCACAAGCCTAAGGACAAATATTGAACAGGACTCCTTCCTACAAAAAAAAAAAAAGTTTTTTCCATTGGATGAACAATGCATTTTAGTAGTGAGAGTAAGAGCAACATTTTCTCCAAGACAGTGATTTTTTTTTAAAGAAAACTGTCACATCATATTTTCTGAAAAATCCTCTTTGCCCAGGATTCTTCTCCTCAAAAGATGAGCGGCCTTAGAGAAAAAGGAAAACAATATTATCTCATTTGCTTCTCCTGTGTTTTGCTGCTTTGGAATGTGGTTTGGAGGTTGTTTATCCAACAGGTGGTTGTTTGATTGGTTTCATGTGAATTATTTTAACTTAATGACCAATCACGGTCAGCCTGTGTCAGAGTCTGGAGAGAGAGTCATGAGATTCATTATCATTCTTTGTAGCCTTCTGTAAGTATTCTTTCTCTATTCTTTGGTACAGTTTTAGTATAGTATTCTTTAATATAATATCATAAAATAATAAGTTAGTCTTTTAAGAACATGGAGTCAGATTCATTCCTTCCTGCCATGGAGGACCGCAGAAAATACCACAGAAAACAACATCTCTCAGAATTTAGTAAACACTGTGGGTGTTTCAGAGTGTTTTCTGTACTGGAAGAGTTGAAATTAGAGAAACTCATAGGATTTTCACTCATGGACAATCCTGACCTGGCTGCATGAGTAGCCTTGAAGCCCAACAGGGGTTTTGTGTCTTCATCCCCCTCAGTGGATGGGCACGTGCTGCTGCAGCAATTTGAAAGGATCATGCCTTTGGTCTCCCTTGGAAGCCAAGCCCCAATCCCGAGCTCCTTCATGCCCTGCTGGCCTGGCTGGCCTGGCTTGGCACGCCGTGCTTTAATAACCCACGAGTTGTCTGCAGGCTGCCAGATTATTTATACTCCATCTGTTCTGCCTCATCTGTGGGCTCTCCAGCCCTTTTCCATGGCTGCTGCTTGCCTGGCTGGGAGACGTGCATGGGGTCTTGGTTTGGAAAGTCAGGTGTCTGCTGAGGAAGG